TCTCCCTCGCTTTGTCATGATTTCTCCATATTTCTCCACCTCTCTCTGTTCGTCTTCCCCTTGTGACTTGTTTGCGCATGTCAGGCTTGAGACCCTGGCACGCCAAGGCGCCTTAGATGGGAACAGGGTAAAGAGATTATGCCGATTGGAGAAGGCTAATTGCAACATATTCCAACTGCTTCACCGCTGATTCATGCGAGCTTTTGCATCTTTGCTCTACATAAGATTTGGCGTGCCTTATTTTGTTCTTTGGGATTGACTACATCCATTGTCCCTCAGGCTGGGCAACGATCACCTGATGATGTACCGGGCGAGGCAGACTAATGTGAAGTGAACTTCAAGGACGCAGTTCAATGATGCAAAATGATTTCGAGACTGTAAAGATATTGAAACCTTTGGCGGAATGCCAAAGGCCCTTTGTAGCACAAGAGATGTGCATGTACTCACAGGGAGGAAAGCAAGGACCAAATGCTTTAGCCATCCATAGCCATCCCAGATTTCCAAATGTCACAAGTTCAACCACCGCCAGTCCATTGGGTCCATCGTGCCTTGGCAATGCGAGGGAAATCTGTGCAAAAACGTGCAGCTTTTTCATGTTTTGAAACTTTTTCCACATTCTGTTGTCGCTGTCGAATCTGTCGAAACAACTTTGAGACTTGAGACATCTTGAGACTTTTTGCATCTTTTTGCCGAGGCAGGTTTTGTTCGAGTTTTGTTCGTTTGTGCGAGGCTAATGCACCTGTTGCACCTAGCCCGGCGCCTGAGATTCTGACTCGAGTTGACTTGAGTGAAACGTTGCGTCATCACCCTCGGTTCTTTAACCATTTTAACCACCGTACAGCCTACAAGTCGTGGACAAGGGGGCTGGACAAGAGCTTGGACAAGATTGGACAAGGGTACTGCGCATTCAGAACAAACTGCAAGTGGTGCAAATGGTAGGCTGCAAACAGCACAACAGCAGTTACGAGCACATTTTCTTGCACTACAGATGCACGATTCTCTTGGATGCTCTTGGACCATTGGATGCTCCTAGGTATTCCAATCATTGCAAGCGGCAACATGACACTAGAGTCTGGACTCAGAGACTGTGTGCTGGGGTCTTCGTGGTTTATCATTTCTGCCTTTGTTCACTTTCTGCAAGCAAAATGGGGTGGATGCTCGGCTGGATTCAAAGCATTCTCCAGGTCAGGCAGAGTGCTGGAAGCCAAGAGAAAGCGTGAAGAGCTACAGGTGCAGCAAGAAGATTCATTCGCGCAAGAGGATTAGCCTCCAACTTCCAACGTCTGAAATTGACTTAAATTGACTTCTTTCAGATTTACTAATTTATCAATCTGCATCTTACATCCTTGTCTATGAAATACAGAATATGATATACTGTATATATATATATACAGTACCGACAGTACCTGAATTTCTCCATTGTCGCAGCCGAATCTCCATGCTTCATCTCTTCCGACCGAAAGAAGCGTTACCTGGTGGATCCTGATGATCATCTGATGGTTCATTGCCAGAAGGCATCTCCTGATCCAATCAGATGCACTTGGCATAGCTTGGTGAAGAGCCCTTTCGATGCTAACATTTCTTTGCGGACATATGGGATACATATGGGGCCTATGAGCTACTTCGCATACCTGAGTCATGTATGATTCAGCACGTGCGCAAAAATGAGAGGTAAGCATCGCCCTGAATAGAGATGCAATTGTTTAGACACGACCCTATCTTCCATAGGAATATCATGGAATATCTTGAAGCACATTCAACCTCGGCGTACATGTAAGATCTGGTTTCCAGATGCAGTGCTGGTGTAGTTGGTGACCTCATTTTAAGTTGAGATGTGTCATGACAGAATCTGATTACATGGTTTCAACAACCAGGTTTACAAATCCACCAAAGTATCATGACCTCTCTTTTCCAGATAATTTTTCCGCATGCATTGTTTAGGCCCGCTCTACAAGTTCAGATATCATTTGTTGCCTTGGGGAAGCAGATGCCTTAGAAACTACAGCTACCAGGATCGGCGAAAGGTGCTGCTCTCAAGCCTCACAGACCAGCTGAAGCAGGTGTTGGCGAGGACTGAAGTGTCACAATATGTCACAATAGCAGCAAAGTAGACCAAGCGAAGCAGGGAGAAGCAGGAAGCACATCTTAATGACTTAGCACGTTCCATACTTTCTGCAGATAGTGCATTGGATGGTGCTAGGCGGCCAAGCAGGCCTATTATCAATAGACATACGTATATAATATATGTATATATACATCTTAGATGAGTATCAACATGAATCATGATACAAACCATTATATTTTACCGTACCCATGTGTATTATACTAGATGGTATTTTGAATCATGAATAACACATTATTATGTATTTAGAATTGCTGCAACGAATCGGTGGGTTGTGGATGCTGAACGAAAGACCTTGCTTGTTGACATTGCACCTCCATGATTTGCGAGTATTGGCATCTTTAGACAATTTGCATAGATTCTTGTTGTTCCGACCCAATTGACACACCCAATCGAAGTAGTAATACGTACCCTTGCGAATGTTCTTGAAGTAAAAACAACGCGATCGCCTACAGGTTTCTACACCTTGAAAAAACATGAAAACCACATTTAAAAAAAAACACATTCCAGATGCTTTGTCAAGGCTTTGTCGCTTCCATTTCTGCCAATTTCTAGTTCACCCTGTGAAGTCAGAGCCTTCTCCCAGGATCAATGATCCAACAACTTCTGATCGAAATCGGGAGCAGCTCCAGGTAGACAACATGGCAGACATCCGCAGACTGTACATCTACACTTTTTTTGTGAGTTTTCTGTTTCAAAAAAAGTGAGATCGGTGTACCGTACCGTCTTGTGAGATTGTGCCCGTCTGGTGCGCATGTGTTGGGACCTGACAACCAACTGGGACGGACAAGAGTTTATACTTTCGTGTGAGCTATACCCCGAGCTATGCCCTAATTCGTGCTGGTTGATGGCTATATAGGGTAGCACCAGCTCGCTTCATTCGTGAGAATTCTTGCAATCAGTAAAGTACTTCGAGGCTAGAGGGGAATGGCAGAAGGTCTTGGGCACTGCTCACATGATTTCAGCTGACCGTTGTGTGCAGAAAAACGTCGAACACCAAAGACAATGGGAGGCCATTTTGGCGAACATCAAGGACAAAATCAACACCCTAACTCCAGCTCCAAAGGAGGCATGAGCGCAACACAAACAGCACTATCTTGTTTTGCTGTTGGAGACAATTCTTGGATCTCACAAAGTTCACCGAGTGTACCAAGGGTTCCAAGTGTTGTGTGGAGAGCGCTGGGTCGAAAGACAGGATCCAGCCAAGCGACGGCCAATGCCAATGCGCGCGTTGCCGTACCAGGCCGGACTTGAAACTTGTCCCATTTTGTACCAACCAGGATGGACCATGGACGACCTTAGAGACCTTGAGGACCTCAGTGTTCCGTAAAGTTCTGGCATGAATTTATTGTTTATCCGACATTCCAGGACACTTAGGCGGGTTCTCCCTTCGCTATCCTTTACATTCCTTTGTGCCAGATACATCAAAATATCATGAAATATCATGAATTGTCACACTTTTTCACAAGTTGTGCACAAGTTGATCTTCATTTTGGCCTGTTCCTGGAAAGTGTTTGCGCATCCGTCAGACCACGCTGGACAATCGCCCTAGACCAGCAGTGCTGCATCTTTCAAAGCTCCCTGCCTGGGCCCAAGACCTGGCCAGTTCAAAGATGTTCAAAGATGTTCAAAGGCAAGGAATGACTTGAAATTCTGCGAAAAAAGAATGAACACGATGGGAAACGAGGGGAAAAGTGATGAAAAGGGTGTCTTCTCATACTTTTCCAGATAGCTCCAGATAGGTTCAGGTGGGTTCAGATACTTCCAGGTTGTCTATTGTCTCTGCATAGTATAGATGTTTGTCACTTTTTGATTCCCAGGAAGAGATGCGGGGACCTGATGGCGAGGCGAAGAAGGGAAGTGACCACAGACTGAGGACGATCTGACGTCGACGGTGACATCATGAGCCAATGCTAGTGATGTCCAGTGACGTCCAGTGACGTCCAGTGATGTAGATAGGATGTCTACTGCGTAGGATGTCCTCTTGCAGGTGCAGCTTCGCGACGCCTTGGGTGACAGCGTCGAATGGATTCGTGATTGGTCTGAAGACGGAAGCCAAAGCCCCGGAAGTCTTCGGATGCTTTTCCAACTCGTGCATCGGACCAGACACAAGTATCACAACATCACAAGAATATCACAAGAAATCAAGAAATACAGATTTCAAATACAAGAATATCCAGATGGCAAACATTTGGCAAACATGTCTTTGGATGTTCTTGCGGATGGACTGAGTGCATGTTCCAATACAGTTTGTCACCACTTGCTTTGCTGGCTCGCGGGACAGTCTGCATGTCCAATCCTTGGAAGCCAAGTGTTTAATTTCTTCCCAGCACTTTTTGTGCCTAGCCTGCCTACTGTAGTTTTCATTTTTCAAAATTGTTCGGTGCTTTCCTTAGGTGCGTGCGTCGTGCGTTTTCGAGACCGCCGACAGGCTGAGGCTTGGATTGCTCTACGCGGCAGAGTCTTTGAGATGTGCACAATGTGAAACCATGTGAAACCGTGTGAAACCATGTGAAACCATGTGAAACGATGTGAAACGATGTGAAACGATGTGAAACCATGTGAAACCATGTGAAACCATGTGAAACCATTCAATTACGTATGTGTACGCATGTCCATGTCAATGTGTTATCAAGAGATTTTTTGAGCTGTGAGGCCTTATTCATTTTGTATAAGACAAACCTCTGACGCAAAGAGACTTAGGCAGCCATAGGATCCGGCAGGCTGCTGTACAGGATCAAAAAGTTTGGGGGTTCACGGCAAAGATCCAAGAGGAGGCACGGCACATGGATTTAGACATCATAGACATGATTGATTCAATGCTTGGTCATGTTTGGCCTGCTAGCCTTCTATACTTTGTACATCTTTGTACTTGGTATTTTGTTGCAATTTTAAAATGGTAGGATATCTGAGAATTACAGTACATCAAATTGCGGCATGTTGTGAGTTTGGCAAACCTTTGCTGATGCGCTGACAGGCTCCCCCACACTTTCGGCGCAAGCCTCCAGTTAGATTTCACCAGCAGCCTCGACAGATGCACACTCATAAGGCCAAAGCAAACATCTTTTTTCATTGCTTCAAGTAGTCAACTCGCACACGCTGGAAATCGTTGTCCACAAAAGGTTGAACCATATTGACAGTAGTTGACAGTTGTGTAAGCAAAAAACCCTAAGCCCTAAACCCCAAACCCTAAAGTGAGTTTCGAAACCACAGCAAGATGGGGATGAACGACAGATGTTTTACAAGTTGTGCAATGTTGTGCAATGTTGTGCAATGTTGTGCAATGTTGCGAGCTTGAACCTGCGCTTGTGTGGCAGGTCTTTCGGCCTCCACGCATGGATGGGCTGGCTTTGTTTGGCAATGCCTGAAACGTCTGAAACGAGACCTGGACAGACGTTGGGACGATCAAGCGCCTTGTAGAGCCAAACTACCGTGACAGCTTCCCGAGTTATTCAGAAACTGGTCTGATCTGGTCTGTGGGAGCATTCCTTTATATCCCTCCATTTGTTCTCATGGAGTTGCAGCAGAAGCAGCTGAAAGCTGCGTGTAAGCGAGCTTGCTTCGACATTGTGGAGTTTAGGAATGTCTGTTGGGGGCTAGTCAGCCAACACCGCGTTCATAGCTCTAGTCTCCTAAACTGCGAAGAGAAATGGTATACATCCTTTTAGTATAGGATGTAGATGCATGCATGGATATAGTATGTTATAGAGAGGACATTCTTGTTACATATCGACAGATTCACGCACACGTGTACATGAGATCAGACGACATTGGGATCCTATTGTGATTGTTGAGTCAACATTGGAACCTGTTCACTGAAGAGATTGACGATTCATGGAAGATAGTTATCTTGGAGATAGTCATCTCGGATAGTCATTGCGTGAATAGGACACAACAGGAAACTGTCAAACAGAATCATTTTTCTGAAGCTTGTCCCCCAAATATCCATAAATATCAGAATAAGTATCTCTAAATGTCCAAAGACTCCCAAGTATATTCAAATATCCAACTTCAGCTTCTTACGAACTTGGTCGTGAGTGTCCTTTGGCATGCCAGGTGGAACGGGCCCCCGGCAGCCCAGACACCGAGGCAAAACACCGACGAAACATCAAAATTGCAATTTTTATACGAAGCATGGATGACCTGGATGTGATTGCCATTGATATAGAGCAATGGGGGTGCACACTTGAAGTGACTTGGATGGTTTGTGACGATTTGTTTCCATCACGGTTATCACGAGAGCACTGGAGGCTTTCGACTCTGACATCGAAGACCCGGAAGTCTTGGCATCCATGCGACCACCGGAACCAGAACAGGAATTGCAAGATGGCGCCCAGGAGCCGTCAAGACGGTTTGACAAAAGCTTGACAGTCTTGGACAGAGTCTTGGATAGTTTTGAGACAAAATTTCTCAGAACCTCAAACATTGTCGCAGGACCTCTTGGCAGAGGCTGGAATTCAGATGCCGGGGTGGGTTTGCGCTCACAACATGACCACAATTTTGGAAGGATTTCCCTACTTTTATTTCGCCTAACTGCGAAATTGAAAGGTTGAGATTCAGAAAATATGCAGTATTCTCAACATTTGTTGTTGAACATCTTTGCAAGCACCATTTTCTTTTGCTTTCTATTCTTTTTGACTTCCATGGATCATTCTGACCACACCTTTCAGTCTCTACCCGTTTCCTTCTAACATGTTAGGCTGGAGAAGATCAACCTGCACCATTACAGGCTTGATAGAACTCGTGTTCGAGACATTTTGAGACTGCTTTCAGGATCTTGCATTTGCACGCCGTCAAGAGATGCCATGGCTCTGACTGAAATGATTGCTTTCGCTGTCATGCCTGTTGTTCCTGTCATGCCTGTCATGCCTGTCATGCCTTTCATGGACTATTGGGATTTGTGTATCTTTTGTTCCTGGTGGTTTCAACTTGTGGCCTAGTCCTGGCTCCACAGAGCTTGTTGCACAAAAGGTTAACAACAGATAACAACAGTTGTTTAATTCTGTCGAGAATCCATTTCAGTGTTGGCACCAAAACCTGCATCTCAGATGTTGCACATTGCCCAATCCCAGCCCCAGAGGCTGAAGTCGAAGCTGCGGAAGCTGCGGAAGCTGCGGAAGCTGCGGACGTTGCTGAGGCGTCCATGCCAGCAGAAGCCGCAGAAGTGCCAGCTGCAGAGGTGCAGCTCAGTTCTGCTCAGTCCAAACACGGATACGTAGTGGCTGAGTAATTATTGCTCGCCTGGTCACCTGTATACTTGTTCACCGAAACTAATGCCATTGTTCGCTGTTGCTTGGTCAATCCAATTCGCTGAACTCATGGTGTTCTATTTTCAAAACAGGTCAGCATCAAATAATACAACACGAGGGCGCAGTGCCAAGAAAAACTTGGCTGTGCTTTCCCAGGGCAAAATGATTCCGTGTTTTCACATCACAAGAAAATTGAAGGCACTTGAAGGCACTTGAAGGCACTTGAAGGCACTTGAAGGCACTTGAAGGCACTTGAAGGCACTTGAAGGCACTGAAGGCACTTGAAGGCACTTGAAGGCACTTGAAGGCACTTGAAGGCACTGGAGGCACTTGAAGGCACTTGAAGGCACTTGAAGGCTTTGGAAGGCACTTGAAGGCACTTGAAGGCACTTGAAGGCACTTGAGGCACTTGAAGGCACTTGAAGTCACTTGAAGGCCCTTGAAGGCACTTGAAGGCACTTGAAGGCACTGGAAGGCGCTTGAAGGCACTTGAAGGCACTTGAAGGCACTTGAAGGCACTTGCAGGCACTTGAAGGCACTTGAAGGCACTTGAAGGAGTGGAAGGCACTTGAAGGCACTTGAAGGCACTTGAAGGCACTTGAAGGCACTTGAAGGCACTTGAAGGCACTTGAAGGCACTTGAAGGCACTGGAGGCACTTGAAGGCACTTGAGGGCACTTGAAGGCACTGGAAGGCACTTGAAGGCACTTGAAGGCACTGGAGGCACTTGAAGGCACTTGAAGGTACTTGAAGGCATTGGAGGCACTTGAAGGCACTTGGAGGCACTTGAAGGCACTTGAAGGCACTGGAAGGCGCTGGAAGGCACTTGAAGGCACACTTGAAGGCACTGGAGGCACTTGAAGGCACTTGAAGGCACTGGAGGCACTTGAGGCACTTGAAGGCACTTGAAAGGCACTTGAAGGCACTTGAAGGCACTTGAAGATCTTGAAGGCACTTGAAGGCACTGGAAGGCACTGGAAGGCACTTGAAGGCACTTGAAGGCACTTGAAGGCACTTGAAGGCATTGGAGGCACGTGAAGGCACTTGGAGACACTTGGAGGCACTTGAAGGCACTTGAAGGTACTTGAAGGCACTTGAAGGCACTTGAAGGCACTTGAAGGCACTTGAAGGCACTTGAAGACACTTGGAGGCACTGAAGGCACTTGAAGGCAACTGGAGGCACTTGAAGGCACTTGAAGGCACTTGAAGGCACTTGAAGGCACTTGAAGGCACTTGAAGGCACTTGAAGGCACTTGAAGGCACTTGAAGGCACTTGAAGGCACTTGAAGGCACTTGAAAGCACTTGAAAGGCACTTGAAAGGCACACTTGAAGGCACTTGAAGGCACTTGAAGGCACTTGAAGGCACTTGAAGGCACTGGAAGGCACTGGAAGGCACTGGAAGGCACTTGAAGGCACTTGAAGGCACTTGAAGGCACTTGAAGGCACTTGAAGGCACTTGAAGGCACTTGAAGGCACTTGAAGGCACTTGAAGGCACTTGAAGGCACTTGAAGGCACTTGAAGGCACTTGAAGGCACTTGAAGGCACTTGGAGGCACTTGCAGGCACTTGAAGGCACTGGAAGGCACTTGAAGGCACTGGAAGGCACTTAAAGGCACTTGAAGGCACTTGAAGGCACTGGAAGGCACTTAAAGGCAGTTGAAGGCACTTGAAGACACTTGAAGGCACTGGAAGGCACTTGAAAGTCATTTGAAGGCACTTGACATTCTTTAAAATCTTTGAATTCTTTGAAATTCCTTCAAATTCTTTAAAATTCTTACACATGTCTCAAATATTCTTAAATTTCTTAAAATTTATTTATTTAAACATATTCTTTAAATTTCCTTCAAATTCCTTAATTTTTTTTTACCAATTCCTCAAAATTCCTTAAAATTCTACAAATTCCTACCAATTCCTTAAAATTCTTAAAATATCCTTAAGATTCTTTAAAAAATCTTTAAAAATCCTTAAGATTCGTTAAACATTCTCTAAATTTCCTTAAGATTCCTTAAAATCCTTAAAACATCCTTAAGATTCGTTAAAATTCTTTCTATTCCGTAAAATTCTTTAAAATTCTTTACAAATCCTTAAGATTCGTTAAAATTCTTTAATATTCCTTAAAATTCCTTAAAATTCTTTAAAATTACTCAAAATTCTTCAAAATTCCTTTAAATTTTTACAAATTCCTTAAAATTTGTTGAAATTCCTTAAAATTCAGGCATCAAGTACCATGCGAAGGAGAGGCAGCTGACAAGCTCTTCTTGGTTCCTTTTGTCGAAAAACCAGACATGCAGCCAGCTTCCTGAAAGCACAGGCTTCCGTCGCAACATCGCAGTGGTTCATGAGCAGATAAGCACAACAGATTCCAACTGGATTTGTCCAAAAATTGGTGATATCCATGGGATATCCCAATTCATCGCCATTCCTTAAAATTCCTTAGAAACCAGTTCCCAAAACAGTTCCCCCAATTCTCCCACAGAGGTGCCTGGAGCCTCTGGGGCCTCTGAAGCAGCTCCTGCTCAACCTGCGGAACCTGCAGAACCTTCTGAAGCCACTGGGGCACCTGCGCAGGCATCTGTTGAGGCACCTGCCGAGGCATCTGCTGAGGTGTGGACACCAAAAGTTGATGAGTTTGAAGATGCCTGAAGATGTTTGAAGATGAAGAATGCGAAACACAGAGAGTTTGAACATAGGCATACTGACTTGATGTACGGTGTTTGGGTTGACCACAGGTGGAAAGCAGAGCAGCGGCAGATCCCACAGAGTTGCCGCCACCAGAGGTCCGGATTTTCCAGACCATCGTCAAGTGTGCAAAATGCCTGACACCCTACTGTAACGGCCCATAAGTCTACATAATAAGCTACATTAGGAGCGATTGAAGGTCACAACGTTTTTCTTCCAGCAAGACTGTATGAAAACCCATGCCTAGCAAGCCGGCCCTCTTGGCAGCGAATTCCACAGTTGATGAAAAGGTGAGACTTGAAATGACTTGAAACATCTTGAAACTGAAGCCAAAATATGACAAAAGGAAGTGACAGAAAACGACAGAATTCGTTGGATCATGGCGTGTTGGATCCAGTTCCTAGGCCCTTGGACCACTGGCAGCAGCTGCAGAGCCAGCAGAGCCAGTGGAGTCCCAAGTCTTGTGAGGTGTGCAATGACAAGACAAGAATAACACGACACGATGAAGCGAGATAGTTAGTTATGTAATGTATTGTAATGTTATGTATACATAATGCTACATATGTTGTATACATACATGACATCACGTCAAGCTACAATGCCACCAGCCAATGTGACAAACTCAGCATACGATGAGGCCTCCCAGCTTGACGTTACTGAGCCAACTGAGCCGACACAATCGGAGGAGATTTGGAAGTCTGCTTAGTGACCTTCTCCAACGATATTCTTTTTCTTTTACATTCTTTTACCAAATATATCGAACAGAACGCTCTGGGACCGAAGCTTCAAAGTTTGGTGAAAATCTCAAAGCCAGTGTTGGTCTGAATGTTTGCTCCACCCTTTCGCACGTCAGAACTCTTTTCACGAACATCTCGGATCCAACAAAAATGCAGATGTCTTTGCACTGCACATCCTGGCCATCCCTGGCCCATTCAGTGTGGACTCTTGGAGGAGTTAGCAGAGAATGCTGAGGCTGGTAAAGCATGGTAAAGCGCTGTCAAACACCTGAAACGCTTTTACCATCTTTTACCTAGGAGACGCATGGAGACGCGGGTCTACACGTAGTACGTAGATGTACGTAGTTGAGGTCATTTGCATATGCTGTGAGATGGTTTCATTAATTAATCTTGAATGGCCAAATGATTAGTTCTGAGAGTAGAGTCGAGTAGGAAAGAGGAAGGGAAGGGAAGAGCAAAACGAAAACGGCAGGACAGCAATGGGAGGCAGACACACTGTTCTGTCACTTGACACAGGAAGATCCGTGATTACCTCTTGTTTTGGTCTTGTTCTGCTTAGTTCTACGGTATTCTACAGTAAGCTGCATTCATCTTCGAAAATCTCCAGTAGTCTCTTGCGATCGCTGGTTTCAAATTCGGTGGTCTGCGCACATGAGAGACAACCACAGCCTGCCAGGCCTCAGCTCCAGAGCCGCAAACCTCGTGACGGCGGATTCAAAAAGTCCTGTGAGTCCAACACAAGGTGTATATTTTGTATCTGACAGTGACATACAGTGACAATATCTATCAATATCTGATATATCCATTTCTGAAACATCTTGCAAACACATGCAAATAATTCGGCAAATGAAGTGAACTTGAGTAGCATTGGCATCGTGTAGAATTCCTTTGAATGATTTAGCAAGGGATATCGAAGTGTTGCACTTTCTATTCCAGGGTTCGTGACGCCGCAAAAGGAGTTACGCAGCTAAAGACTTAATTTCCTATTGCTCCAATTGCAGTGATTCCTCTGTTCCATTGCAGAATTTGGCAAACCACTTGCATCTCTCTTTGCCATGATGAAAGTCTGTTGTGTAGCCCGTTGGGTCATAGGTGGGAATTGGGTAAGTGGAACGCATTTTGACCCACCTTGATCCACCTTGCACGTATTGCGGTTTGCTTGTGGTATTCAAAGCTGCTGCCACCGCACTGTCAAAGCGCTTGCCGAAGATTTGCTATCAAAGCCCTAGTAGGGCAGCAAGTGAATGACACATGTAGGTGCACACTGCCTTGGCGGACCTCTACTCAAACTTGCATATACACAGAGCGGGACAGATGCGATACAATCACAAGATCAGATATATAATTCTTGATACAACATGCGCAATTCTGCATTTCAGCGTGTTGAGATTTACAATTTAGATCTCTGCATATCAAATGAGGAAGGTTTGCAGGCATTCACAGTACTGAAGGCTGCTTGGAGCGCGCATTTGTTTCTGACATTTGCTGATTATGTCGTTGACTGATCCTCTGCTTGAGGCACGGCAAACAGATGCAAACAGCACACTGCCAGTGGCTGCCAGAATGTGCACATCAGTGCATACGCTACCGTACACTGACATACTCCGGCATACTCCTATTGATGTCCTATTGATGCTGTGTGTCCAGGATGCCTCAGGCAGCTTCCCAGATCAGTCCTGGTCGGAAATCAAGCGTGGCTTGACTTGTAAAACTGTTCCAAGGGCCATGCAAAGCACAGAATGATAATGGGTGATGGAAGACTGCGTGACTGCCTGGTCTTGAAGTAACATCTCCCTCTCTATATAGTACAAGTCCAAATATAATATGCTTCATGTGATCAATTTTGGAGTCATCAATAATATATAATATAATATATATATAGATAATTATATATATATACAATTATATACACATACAATTATATATGTATATAATTATATATATATACGTATATATATACGTATATATATAGACAGATACGTAATGATATGTATATATACATACAACGCACATGAAAACATGTAAGGCATCTACCTTCCATTTTTGCTTGTCAGCACTGACATTGATTCATGGATCCGGGCCGAGATGAAAACCGAGAAGTCTCGGTCAGTAGCAGTGCCTCTACAGCTGAGCCCTCTCCGCAGGACTGCAGGATGAGAGTTTGTCGAGCTTTAGTGGATTGATTAGCTGAAGATTATGAAGACGCATGAAGCCATGCTGGTTCAACCAGGTCCCACTGAAAGTCCACGTTTTTAATTGCAGAAAAGTAGGCAAATTTGCGACTCGTGCGAGATCACAAGAAATTGACCAATAGAGCTTGATTTGTTCTGCCAAGTTGGCGCCTCTTGACAGGACACTGCTCAATTTGACCCAGAAGCGCCTTGGCAAAATGTCGCCGTTTGCGATGCAAAGTAGCAAAAGTATGCAAAAGTTTCGTCCCTTTAATTGAACATCGAACGCTTTCCTGACCTTCGCCCCACAACGACGATCTGCCAGCAGTCCTACAAGAGCCGTAGCTGCTGCCACTTGTCCGGCCAGTGAGCGGCCACAGCTGGCCGAAGCCGGTCGAAACCGGTCATACCATGCTTGCTGAAAGCATACCATGACCCATGACATGCCCATTGAGAACTATATTCTCGGAATCATGGGGGACAACCCTTGCGGCCTTGGCGTTGCAGAGGGTTCGGTGTGATGCGGGAGACAAGCCTGTCCAGAATTGAGCCGTGAAGTCTTTTTCACGTCCTTAGGACAGAGGTTTGGAGCCGAAGCTGGCAAATGCTGATGCTTTGCTGATTCACAGCATCGATGACAAGGAAGTGCAGGCCCAATTTGCACAAGAGTGAAGGTTGTAGCCGAGCTTGCCATGAAAAGCATTTAGTCACATGTAAATGCAAGTAGCACTTCGATTCGACGGATAGAACAAATAACAGTTTGCCTGGTGTATTCCGGTATATTCCGGTCCTCTTTACAAGTTCGAGTTTGACACCTTTGTGATTCCGGAGAAGTTCTTTGATCCATTTCGATCTCAGAAAATGCAAGAGGCTGGGAATGCGCCGATGCCGCGAGCTTTGCTTTCACCGCTGGGTAGCCCACAGACGACACCAGGCGCCTTTGCCTGGGTTGACCCGGACCTTCAAACGTGGCCGTACTACAGCGATCTACTCTGGCATGCAAGGAGGACTACGCTTTTGCATATACAACATTGTACATTATGCAGCATGTAGAGAATAAGCAGGATGATGCAATGCTCCCTAATTAAATCTTTCATGTTCTGTTCAACGGAAGTTTAGTTGGCAAGACTTCGGAGTTGCGGGCAAATCTCTGTCCATGGTCAGTTCTCCTCCTCCTCCTCATCCTCCTCATGATGATGATGATGATGATGTCAACCACAGAGATAGCAACAGCAGTTGGCAGGTGGAATCAGTAAAGAGCAGAAACAGTCAGGGAGCTTGTGAAATTGTTGGTGAAACAATGGATGTGCGTGAATGGCCGTGTTTTTACAAGCGCGGTGGCCCCAGGGTAGGAGGGTCTGTTTCTGCGTGTTTTCGGCCTCGATCTGGAAAAGGAGTCGACAAAATGTGCACGAAGCTGTAGCAAGACCCCGATTTTGGTTGAAAATGCGCTTCTCACCGCATGGTTGGGCAACTTTTGGAAGACGAGGTCGGAAAAATGTGCACGTAGTGAAAAGACGTAAAAGAACCGAGGCGTTCAGAGTGGAGCGGAATCACCCCCATTGTCAGCGCTGGGAGCACGTTGGTCGATTTGGTGGGGCGCTCCTGCTATGCGGAATGGTAATCGGAGGTGACGAAGCGCATTGGCACAGCTGTGCTGAAAAAAAAGAAGAGGCAGCTCAGAGAAGAAGTAGATGAGAAAAGAGGCGCCTCAGAGAAGGAGTGGCTCAGGGAAGAGATGGCTCAGTGAAGAAGTAATTCAGTTAAAACTGTGGTTTGGAAAAGCCTTAGCTTAGGGAATGGGTAGCTCAACCGAGAACTAGCTCGTTCATTCACTGGTTCACTCATTCATTCACCCAATCATTGCTTCATTTTCTTCCGTTTTGTTTCGTTTTCGTTTTATTTATCGCGTCATGCTCAGCCATGTTCATTTGATTTTGTTTCATTTCGTTCATTTCATTTCCTTTTATTTGAATTTCATATCCTTTAGTGCGCTTTATGCATGTCGTGCATTTCATTCATGTCATCAATTCAGCATTAATTATATAATTCGTTCAAATCATTCATATCTCAATGTCCAGCCATTTGTTCATGCATTATATAATTCGTTCATTCCTTCTTTGACTCTTTCGTTCTTTCATTTCTTCATTCCTTCCTTCCTTCCTTCCTTCCTTCCTTCCTTCGTTCCTTCGTTCCTTCATGCCTTCCTTCCTTCCTTCCTTCGTTCCTTCGTTCCTTCATGCCTTCCTTCCTTCCTTCCTTCGTTCGTTCGTTCGTTCGTTCATTCCTTCTTGCATGTTTTCGTTCTTTCATTTCTCCATTCAGTATTCGTTTCTTCATTCATTCGTTCATTCATTCGTTCGTTCATTCGTTGGTTGGTTGGTTGGTTGGTTGGTTCGTTCGTTCGTTCATATGTTTGTTCCTTCATTCCTTCATTCCTTCATGCGTTCCTTCATTCGTTCATTCATTCATCCTTTCTTTTTTCTTCTTCTTTTTTTCTCTCCTTTCTTCCTTCCTCCCTTTCTTTTTTCGTTCTTTCGGTCTTTCTTGCGTCCATTCATGTAGTCGCTTACGCATGGACTGACGTATTGATTTCGTGTCATGTCAGTGGATGTCAGTGGCATCTCAACAAGCGTTGTGCTGATTCGTTGATGCACCTCACGACCTCAATCTTTTATTGTTTCTGAATCTCACAGATATTCCTGTAGGCCAGTGATTTAGTCGTCGCATTGTTTTGAAATTTCCGACCCGGCGTAGCCGGCATTACGGGTACACAGTTTAAGGATGTTTAAGGACACTGGTCTTAATTATGCTTGATTCCCCAAACAGTGTGTCCACACTGAGGGGTTCTCACGGTAGGTGTCAAAGGCCGGGGTTAGATCAGGTGCTCCATCAGCGGCGCGGCATTTTTACTGTAAATTCTCGTGTAAGGGTGTTTTGGTGATATGTCCATGTGCATTTCGACTGCGCAGGCTTGCACAAAGTCTGCACCGCGGAGTTCTCAAGGTCTGGAGTCTGGGGCATTTTCATTGTAAATTCTCGCATGAACGGCCCTTATTAGATGTCCAGCAAAGTGCGGGCCTAAGTGCCTCGGCTCATTTTTTGTGGCGGAGTACTTTGTAGACCACGACAGCTGAAACTCGCAACCCTCTCGTCACTTTGTGCATGTCTGAGCGTCTCGTTGTGGCGTGGTGCGAATCTCGGCTTTTTGTGCGCATCGGATCGCTCTCGCTGTGGCGCGGTGCGAATTTTGATCTCGCGCCGCAACCTTCTCGGCACTTTGTGCGTGTCCGATCGCTCTCGTTTTGGCGCGGTGCTGATTTTGACTGATTCCCTAAGATCCTGGTAAAGAGATCTTTTGAGTTCTCTGGAAGAACCTTATATGAAGATCTTGCAAGAGTTTCATGATGCAATTATCAGAAACTCTTCTAGAGATCCTGGGTCCTTGCATCTTATCAGAAGCTCTTTTGGAAATCCTGTCCCTACTAGCTCCTTGCGTGATCTTGTACAGGTCCTTGTCAGAAGACCTTGTGGAGATCGAAGTCCTTGCATGAAGATCTTGCATATGCCAATGAAGTAGAGGTGGTTGTATCAAAACTCTTCCTGGATGCTCTTGGGAAATTCTTGTTATGGGTCCTGGCAGGAAGATCTTGGTCAAGGTTTTTTACAGTTCATTGTGAGAAGAACTTGTAGGGATCCTGGTGCAATCCTCTAAGAAGTCCTTGCGTTATCTTGTGCAGGCCCTTGTGAGCAGATCTTGTGTAGATCTTGTTGAAACCCTCCTCAAGAGGTCCTTGCATTAAGATCTTGAAGGTGCTCTGTGCTGGTGCTTGTCTGCAAGTTCTTCTGGGATGCCCATAGGAAGTTTTGTATGAAGATCTTGTGAGCTCCTCTATATTGATCTATATAGAAGGTCCTGCTGCTGCAATTGCGCTAAGGTCTGACCTGATCTGTTGCTGTTCCATAGCTGCTCTTGCTTGTATTTGGTACATTGACTTCTTACCCCCCACACTGTTTGGGGTCTCTTGCCGGAGTAACTTTTGAGACGTTTGGTTTGGAAAATCAGGTCTGTGGCACTGTGGTGTAGGCATCAATTTAAAGTTTCAATGATACTTTCATTACACACTTCAGGCGTTTTTTTTCTGAGATTGTCTTGGAAAAACACTTCAGGTGTTTTTTTTCTGAGATTGTCTTGGAAAAAACACCATCCTTTTTGTGTGAAAGTTTTGGGGCGGCCATGGCTGAATATTACTTCTCCTGCCTTCCTTTCTGCGACACCCTGTTGAGCTCACGGCAATTTGTGTCGCAAATTTCTTGACTGCAGGGCCATGGATGGAAGACGGAAACCTCATGATGTGTCCTCAGAGAAATGGCACAAACTTTGATTGTGACCCGTGCTTGCCACCATGGTTTATAGATGTCAATGCTCAAGCAGTAAGTCTTTTGGATGTATAAGGACAGGGGCAGAGGCCACGTTCACGGTGGTCAATTTTACCATGAATGTTGGACTCTTGACTTTGCCTTGTCTCTTCGCACAGCATGGTTGGTCAACAGGCGCGACTGAGTGAGTTGATACAAGAACAGTAACAGGTAAGACTCGGAATCCACGGTCGAACACAGCAGAGCTTTGATGACCTTTGTGCATCCTTTGTGCATAAAACCTGGCAGGCGTCGTCATGGCGTTTGCAGGAGTGGCATGTGCTTGCACTGCTTTGTTCATGCAGGAAAGCTGCTTGGTCTGTTTGAGCAAGTCGATAAGTTGATCTGTGCCTGATGTTTCTTTCACGTTTCTGCCTTACTGATCCTTACTCGTACTGTAGTTGAGCAGATGTTTTTCATTCTTGTTCCTTCTATGTGAGTGGACATTCCTTTTATGAAAGTGCAAAGGAGCAATGTCCTTTGTGGAAACCCTAGAAAGTGGTTGATACACGTTGATACCAGGTCCTGAAACAGATACTGCCTTTTGGAATTGATGGGAAAGTGAGAATATGTTCCTGACTCCTGGCAACATTCTGAGGCTTGGTTGCGCTGATCAGGACGCATTTAACGTGTTTGAGCGCAAGATGCCACTGACGTTGTGCGCTATGTATGATCTTACAACGTTTCTCTCTGAAACCGAACATTTACTGACATCAGTTTGATTTGATACATAGGACTAGTATTTTCGAGTCTTGCCTCCATTTCAAAATTCGGGATTTCACAGCCTAGATTCAGAAGAGGAGAGGCATTCCACTCCCAGACTATCCAGATCTCGCACGTGAAGCTGTCGGTTCTCGATTTGCAGTGTTTCTTAGCCTTACAGCATGCAGCATACATGTCCGCAAAGAAAGCAGACCACAGCACTGCTGCAGTCACCTTGTTTTGCTAATCACATGCGAATTTCCTTCGAACAGTACAGCACCGACAAGGGGGAAGAAGTGACAGTATACGACGAGCTACTCTGCAGCCCTGGAAGTGCTAAGGTTGGCCCATGTGGTAGCCCTGGTTGAGATATTTGGCTACGTTTCTGCTAACCTGATTGCTCTGGCAAATGGTTGGGCTCTCGGAGTAAATACTGCATACTTTACAATTGGGAATCAGACAAAACATGAAGAGGACAGTTTTTTTTGGGTGACTCTAAAACGCTGGTTACAGTGAGTTCAAGCATGCCATGCAACAGTTAGCTGGGCTGTAGTTGCTCTGCTTTTGCATGTATTCTGAATATTCTGATTTATTCCCCACATCACTGTGTGGGGTTCTTGTTTTTTCGCTTGGATCCCGCTGCTCCTCTTCCGGTTCCCGCCGCTCCCGCCGCTCCCTCCTCCCAAATCACACCTCCCTCATCAAATCACACCTCACTCATCACAGCTCCACTTCTCATCACAACTCATCACCGCTCCACTTCTCATCAGCTCATCACAGCTCAGCTCATCACAGCTCAACTCATCACAGCATCCAATCACAGCTCCACTTCTCACCATCCACTCATCACAGCTCAACTCATCACAGCTCCTCCCACTTCTCACCATCAAGACTCATCACAGCTCCACTTCTCACCATCAACTCATCACAGCCCAACTTCTCACCATCCACTCATCACAGCTCAACTCATCACAGCTCCACTTCTCACACCTCACTTCTCACACCTCCCTTATCACATCCTCACCTCTCACATCACTTATCACATCACCACTCATCACAGCTCCACTTCTCCGTGGTCAGCAGACTGCCTTTCTCGTGGCAGGTGCAGCTCCTCACAACTCATTCAAAGCTCCTCACACCTCATCAACCCACATGTTCGAAAGCTGCGGCTGCCTTTCGGGTGGCAGGCGCAGTACACAGAGCGTCCTGGAGGAGCTGCGGCGCGCGTGGCCGGCGGTGGGGCCGCGGCTGCTTTTCGCGTGGCAGGCGCAGTACACAGAGCGTCCTGGAGGAGCTGCGGCGCGCGTGGCCGCCGCTGGGGCCGCGGCTGCCTTTCGGGTGGCAGGCGCAGTACACAGAGCGTCCTGGATGCCTTTCGCGTGGCAGGCGCAGCACAGAGAGCGTCCTGGAGGAGCTGTGGCGCGCGTGGCCGCCGCTGGGGCCGCGGCTGCCTTTCGCGTGGCAGGCGCAGTACATTATAGAGCCTCCAGGACAACTTGCGGCGCGCCCCCGCTGGGCTGCTTTCGCATGGCAGGCGCAGTACACAGAGCTCGCTTGGCAGGCGCAGTACACAGAGCCTCCTGGAGGAGCTGCTGCCTTCGTGTGGCAAGCGCAGTGCACAGAGCCTCCTGGACGACCTGCGGCGCGCGTGGCCGCCGCTGGGCCGCTGCTGGCTGGCGTGTGGCAGGCGCACCACACAGAGCCTCCTGGAGGAGTTCTGGGCTCGCTCTCACTGAGGCATTGCGTGAGACTTATGGAGTTATAACACGAGTTATAACGTAAGTTAGCGATGGATAAGTCAGGATGCAATTAGCTAAGTAGTTTCATAAGTTGTATTCACCTGAGTGAACTTAGGATGGACTTATGGACTTATAAGTAGTGTTATGCAACAGGGTGAAATAAAGTTACAAGGGGACTTAGCTTTTTTCAAAATGTGGAAATTTCGACGTTTTTTGTAAGTTGCTTTGAGTTGAAAGTGTGATTTGGTTGATGAAGGGTTGATGTGGTCATAGTGTTTTTGCCGTAGAAAGTTAAGGCTCAAGTTGGAAACCGGTTGTGGCGTCTCACTTTTTTTTAAATGGGCTACTTTCATTACCCCATTATGCAGAGCTGCGCTTAAAGCGTGGACACGAAGTGAGGGAACAATGTCCCTTTTGCGGTGAGCAAATCCCACCTGTCTGGGAACATCTCTCCTGGCATTGCTCCGCCGAACAGTTGTCTTCCGGCCGCCCTGAGGTCCCTGAAGATGAATTGCAAAATCGTCTTGCTTGGCCCACACGTGGGTGTGATGCCTATGATAGAGCGGTTCTTCACCACATGGCCCGGGTCAGGGCCACTGTGCGTGAAAACATGAATTGATCATGTCCCGTTGGCTGCGGTGTCCGGTACCTTCGGGTATTTGAGGCATCCAGTCGTTCAACCCATAATAAAAAAAAAGAGCTGCGCTTAAAGCAGCTGGAAAGACTTTTGGCTTTAGTTGTTCCTGTGCACATTCCTGTGTGGAATGACGACTGGGATAGGGTGCGGTGTCAAGCTTACGACCATGTCTCAGAGGTCAAAAAGGGGGAGCAAATGTTATTAAACTTGTTGCCTTGTCTGCGTTCCCGCCTGGGTCTGCGCGAAGTTTTGTGGATAGAGCGTGCTTTGGCCATTTTAGGTAGCACGGTTGAAATTTTACGTCTGTCTGGGGCCTCGCAGGATTTTTGTGCTGCGTGAGATTATCCGCGGTTATCCGCGGCGTTTCATGTTAGCCGGCATTATCCGCGGATTTAAATATAATCTTAAGCTTGTGGGGAAAAGTTATCCGCGGGTTTGGGCACGGGATTATCCGCGGTTATCCGCGACAGGGATTCATATATGATTTTATGGACATCCGCTTTCCGGATCATGTTGCAGAACGATAGGATATTGTCAAGGGCACAGACGGATTTCGGTGAAAAAACACTCATGCCTTTTCATACATGTCGGTTCCCAAATTGTTCGAAAACCACAGAGGTATATAGAATGAAACTCATTATGCACCTGCAGCGTTCGATTTTGATTTATGTTTTGAGTCAGTACATCGTTTCGTGAAGCTGCATTTTTTCCTTGCACCTGTCTGCGGAACTTGAACGGTATCTGTCGTAGCCATTTTGTGCTCCGCGTTGCTTGTAGTGGAGATAAAATAAAGGGTTGTTGCTACACCATTGCCGTGTCTCCCCCCTCCAAATTTAACGTACACTGTTACTTTAAAACATCAGAAAATCCCTGAAATAATCATCACAAAAATGCAAAAAAAACATCGAAAAGTTATAAAAGTTACAAGAGGACTTAGGAACCACTCAAGATAACTTAATTCTAACTTATGTTATAACTTCATAAGTCTCCGGCGTCTCCTCAGCACACCATCTTTCACGCACAACTTTGTCACACACCACCTTTCACACACTATCTTTCACACACAACTTTGTCACACACACCATCTTTGACACACCACTTTGTCACACACCATCTTTCACACATCATCTTTGTCACACCACTTTGTCACATACCATCTTTCACACCATCTTTGACACACCATCTTTCACACACCATCTTTCACACCATCTTTGACGCACCAGCTTTCACACACCACTTTGTCACACACCATCTTTCACACACAACTTTGTCACACACCATCTTTCATACACCATCTTTCACACACAACTTTGTCACACACCATCTTTCACACACATCATCTTTAACACACAACTTTGTCACACACCATCTTTCACACACAGCTTTGTCACACACCACCTTTCACACACCATCTTTCACACACCACTTTGTCACACACCATCTTTCACACAACTTTTTCACACACCATCTTTCACACACCACTTTGTCAAACACCCTCTTTCACACACCATCTTTGACACCACATCTTTGACACACACCATCTTTCACACACCGTCACAGACCATCTTCCACACACCATCTTTCACACACCATCTTCACCACACCATCTTTGTCACACACCATCTTTCACCACACCGTCTTTCACACACACAACTTTGTCACACACCATCTTTCCTCCACCTCCTTTGTCTTTCCTTCCCCATCCCCGCTACAACATTTCTGGCTCATCATTGGAAGAAGTTGACTTGTGGGGTTGTCCGGTCCTTTTATTTCTCTTTCATTGTTTGGACAGAAAATGCAGCAGGCCCCAGAAAGACGTCGGTGCTTCCTTCAGTAGAGAGCAAATTAAAAAATAAAATCATGTAGTAAAGTAATGCTGTGCAAACTATTCGATCGCATTGAAGAGTTATTAGCTTGCCTGCTCCTCTCCGATTGTCTTCCTCTGCTAGTCTGCTCTAGATTTGTAAAACGCCTTGTAAGGTCTGGTTGCCACAGTTCCGGCACTGAGCGAGCCTCAAGCTATGCTTGTTTCCACCTCCATTTGTGTTTCTTGGAAGCAGTGCGGACCTGCACAGTCGAGTTCTGCAGGAGGCGTGAATCATAGCTTATGGGAGATACTGTATTGTAGCTTTCGAAATCTTTCGGATATTTTCAAATTACAGCAGTGACCGGTGATTTACAGTCAAGGTTTTGGAACATAGGTGACAATCTATGGGAGAAACATCAAACAAAAAAACATGAACCGATAAGACAATAAAATACATAGGGGTTGGGCGTCCCTGGGTTAGAACCTGGGGCTAGTGCCACCCTTTTTACCACCGGAGTGGTTTGGGCAAAACCTTGGGTTCAGGAATTCAGCCCGTGCAATGATGGTAATGTGATTTTTTATCAAAATCTCAGTCCCTAGGTTTTCAGACACCGGGCCTCGTTAACAGAGAAATCTTTGAAAATGTTGGGCCACCAGGTTTTCAGCCCTGTGACACAACAAACTTGAAAAACACTGGGAATGTTGCATCATAGGTTTTTAGCCCCTGTGGATGACTGCATGATACTGCATGTGACCATTGTAGATGTTGCATGATAGATATGTATTCATAAATGTATCTATATCGATATGTATGCATATATATATATACAGTGCATACATATACACAGAATATGCATATACACATGTTTGTATAATGGGAACAAATCAAACGGGTTTTTAGACATATCTTGTAATAGGGGTCTGGTGCCCCTGTCTTAAAACCTGAGGCTGGTGCCACCTTTTTTTACCACCGGAGTGGTGGCTGAAACATATGGGCAAAACCTTAGACTCAGCAATTCACCACCTGCAATGATGGTAGTCTGGTTTGATGTCGAAATCAAGGGCCCTAGGTTTTCAGACACCGGGCCTCGTGAACAGAGAAATCTTTAAAGATGTTTGGCCACCAGCTTTTCACCCCTGTGACAAAACAAACTTCAAAAACACTTGGAATGTTGCATCATAGGTTTTTAACCCCTGTCCTTGACAAACGGTGAAGAAAAATGATGACTGCATATGACCACTGTGGATGTTGCACTATAATGCACTATATAGATATAGGATATACACGCACATGTTTCTGTAACGGGAAAATGATGATCAAACACAGTACTGTCAGACACACCTGGTGTCTGATGGTGTCTGTTTTTCCAGATGGCATGAATGATTATGATGTTTTCACTAAAACATGCATGAACCTTGGGCCCAGGTATTTACCCCGGAGAACCAAAACACGGAGCAAGCTCGGAGACCCGCAAACCATGCAAAACAGGCTACATCGGTGGACTTCAAGGGGACCCCCCTTTGTGGATGCAAAAATGGTTCAAAAACAACAATTTTAAATAAGGGTCTTAATGAAGAACAACTGGCCTGAAATTTTGCAATTTTAGTGCTTATGGTTGGCCCGGTTAAACCTGCCACCTCCCCCAGGATCCGCAGGTCAACAAGCATCTCATACAAATCTGGGACCTTGGGACCAGGTATTTAACCCCAGAGGATCTAGAAGGGATTCATCCAAAGAACATGTGGATCTGTTTGGCTCTCTTCAGGCATTGTTCTCAGGCCCAAGTTTTTCAACCCGTGCCTTCTCTTCAGCTTCTTGTCACTTTCCATCTGCCTGGGCACGGGGCAGCCGGAAATAAATCAAAAATTGAGGGCGTCAACAAGATTGCGTCATTTCCCAAAAAGTAAATTGGTTATACAAACAACCGGAACTTTACCTCTTTATCTGGGTTTTTTCGCGAGGTTACGGGTTCGTAAGGGATTTACGGGTGATTACGGGTGGATTTGACGCTAAGGTTGGATTCTTGCAAACAAATGTTGATCCAATGAAATTATGTATGAGATAGCTCCTTGAGGCCACAAATCCAAAAAAAAAGAAAGGTGCTGCAGACTCGCGCATTTTTTCTCACGCCCCAGTTTTGCCACCTGGGTGACCCTGGTGTCCCTACCCGTTGTGGGTGGCTTGGGGTAGGATGGCCACTTCCCCACTCCCTTTGAACCCAACCATTTCCCGTGAAACGGGCTTATAAAATCAACCATAAGGTTTTGCAGTGGTCAACGGGCTCACGCCAGGTCCACGCACTGACGCACTCTGTACTTTTTTAAATCCAGACTTTTTTGCGAGGTTACGGGCACGAAGTCTTTTTTGCGGGTGACATTACGTCGAGGGATTCTTGTGTTTATTGGTTTTTAGGCGACTGTTTGATATTGGTTGTATTTCTGATTATTTGTTCTTGGGCTAAGCCACGGGCTGCTGGTCTACACCCAAGCTGATCTGTCTTCCATACCGAGTTTGCTGATAAGGTCCAGGTATCTGAGCTTATGGTTCAGGATTCTAGGATGCCAAAGTCTCGGAGCTTAAGCTTTAAGATTCTGCTAGGTCAATGTTTGGGGTTTAGGGCTCACATAGATTTGGAGTGTGCAGCCAGGTAAAGACTCAAACATGTTTAGTTTCAACAATTCGAAGATCTTTGGGCCTTGCGGTCCATGGATTTGTGGTGCTCAGCGCTCAAGGTTCATAGGTTTTCAGGCCTCAATCTTCATAGATGTTTGAGGGTTAAGCCTGACACGTTTTGAAGGTTTACAGCTTGTAGATTTTGCGCCTCAAAGTTTACAGACTACTCCTCCTGGGTCTACACACCAATTCTTTGGGCAACCACTGGTCTACCCCCCAACTTTGGCCAATGGCTGACCTACCCCTCAATCCATATTCTCCTCCATTATATAATGCATGCTGTCCTCTGCGGAAAAACCTGGGAAAAAGAAAACATATAAACCAGATAGTCTGAATACAGAGCCTCAATACTAAAAACACATCGAAACTACACAAGTGACACTTAGAAAAAATAACAATGCAAACACAATAAAAGAAACCCGGAGACCTGTGTTCAATTACGGGAAATTTGGGGCATCCAAAAAATACTTGTAACAATTCAAAAAGGACAAGATAAGGAGACCAAGATGACACCATATGACACCTTTTTTTGAAAAACACTGAAAACGAATAAACTATGAACCTGAAGCCCAAAAGCTACCCAGAAATCGATGAATGACTACCAAGAACATAAAGTTTGATGCTGACTGAAACGGTCTATCAACCTTGAGGCCCAAGCATGTCTGAACCTTAGGCCCAAAAGAACATGAGCCTTAAATCCGCAAAATCTGTGAGCCTTCACCCACAAAAATATGATCGGCTAATTCGTTTGCTTTCTTAATCAGCGTTAAGCCGCAAACAAACTATGAGAATTCAAACCCCAAAGAAGGTCACCGGCAAGTCCCAACATCTATGCAAGGCCAAGAAATGTATGAAACTTAAGCTTCAGAAGTCTATGCACAGTAAGATCCAAAAAAGTGGAAACTCTACGACTAGACATTTATATATATATATATGCATATGAGTTTTCCCGAAAACATAGGCCACAAAACTGGAAATTATGGGAGCATTCAACCCCAAACATGAAGAAACTTCAGGCCCAATAATCAATGAACCTTAAACCCCACAAATCTACCAGGTCCAAGAAAAGTCGCAATATCTTGAGACTAAACATCCACGACCCTTCACCCCCAAATAATACAGGCCGCAAACACCAAATCATGTTTATCGTTTGTTTCCTGTCTCAGGGCAAACCCTTGGAAGCCTTGGCCAAAAAAAAAATCATGTGAGCTTTCAACCCCAGGCCCCAAACATCATAAATAATCTATCAAGCTGGACACCCAACAAGACTGAATTTTAAGCCCACAAATCTATGAGTTGCAAATCTTTAAGAATTCTCTGAAACTTTGAGACCAAACATTTATGAGCCTTTGCCTTTACCTCAAAAAAAACAATATAATATATAGGCCTGGTTCATAGTTTATTCGTGTTCAGTGCTTTTCAACAAAGGGTGTCATATGGTGTCATCTTGGTCTCCTTTTGCTTGTCCTTTTTGAATTGTTACACGTATTTTTTGGATTCTTTGGGGTGCCCCAAATTTCCCGTAATTGCAAACTAGTATTTGGACAAAGATCGGCCGGTTTTTTGAATGTCCTTTGTATGTTGATCAATTTGTTTGATGGTTTTGGACCCACATTTTTCCTCGTTAAAAGCTAGTATTGGGGCATCGATCTGTATTCAACCTTTCTAGCTTGTTCTTTTAGGTCTTTGTTTGTTTAGTTTATTCTATTTTTCCCGGGTTTTTCCACACATGACAACATGTGTTTGCAGAGGGGAATATGTATTGAGGGGTAGGTCAGCCATTGGCCAAAGTTGGGATGAAGACCAGCCATTGCCGGAAGAATGTATGTCCCAGAGCCAAAGCCTATGAACCTTGTGGCGCGCAATCTATGAGCCAAGAATCTCAAACACACTTGAGCCTCAAACTCCAAACGTCTGTAAAGCTTCATGCCTGAAAAATTATGAACCTTGCATCCCACAAATGCATGAATGGTATTTAAGGCCCAAAAACTCTATGAAAGTTCAAAACAAATCACTTACAAGCCCTCACCACCAACAAAATACAGGCCGCAACCCCAAAACTATCTAACCTTACATCCCAAAACACCTCTCGACCCAAGATACAGGTCAGTGAAATACAACAAGAAACAAACAACAAAAAAAGGCACACTGGTTTCTTGGAGATCGATTCTGTTTGATCTAGTTTGTCTTACATTGATTGCCTGTTTTTCTCCTTGTTTTGACTTTATTTGAGTGTTTTCATGTACAATGATCTGATATGATATGATATCATGGGTAATGTGATATGATTGTTTTTTTTTTGCCTCTTTTTTGAGAACGGTCTTGGAAACCATATGTTTGCGTGGAGCATGAACCATTGCACGATGAAACAACTCCTGGTAATTCGAGAAGTCGCACACGAAGAGACATTTGTTTGGCCTGAAGGTTCGCAGATTTAGTTTGTTCATTCATATTTATTATTGATGGGCTTTACCCTGATAGATTTCTGGGATTCAGATTCATAGGATTTTTGGTTCTTGCATCTCAAGCTTTTTGGACCTTTACGTTCATAGATTTTTGGCCCC